AGAAAGAAAGAAAGAATGAATGAACCAAGTAGTGATGGGCAGGTATCGATACCAGGTACTTGATACTTAGATACCTATAGGTATTGGTATCGGTACCGATACCTGCTCTAAACATCGATACCTATGTGTTATTTATCCCTGGGCTGCCAAAGCAAGTGACATGGGCCTTGAGAATTTTTTGTTTATCAAAACTGATGTTTTCCTAGGAGGGGTCAAGAGTTTTAATTGAATTTAGTGATTTTTTTAACAAAAAGAGAAGTTTTTCATGAAATGTATCTAGTGATTTTGCAAAATCCTCACTGACAACCTTGATTTATCCTCATTGGTTTAATTTAAAGTTGCTAAAAATCTGGTAAATTGAATTGCCTTTTTAGAACTCTTGTGTTTTTATTTTCCAATACTAAAATTTTCTTCAAAGTTGACTTTCTTCCCATACTTCACTTAATTTTTGTTTTTATTCTCATATTTAGGTCTCTCTCTCTCTCTCTCTCTCTCTCTCTCTCTCTCTCTCTCTCTCTCTCTCTCTCTCTCTCTCTCTCTCTTTTACAAATAATTTTTGTTTGAGTCTCAGGTAAATAGTCACAACTTGTCTAGACACGAATACCTAAATACTTGGAAAAGTATAGTTGTATTTTTGTCTTTACTTATTACCCCCGGCGTATGTTACCAATAACATTAGGTATCGAGGTATCGGTATCGATACCTTGAAAACGTACTAGGTATCGACATCGATACCTAAATTGTGGTATCGGCCCATCACTAGAACGTTATGTACTATCATTGCTAGAACCAAGTTCAAGATCTAGCCAGAGACACTAAAATATAATTAAATACTCTCTGATCTAGCCTAGGCCCTAGGCCTTTCTGAGTAGCCAATCGAAATTGCGCGCATTGAGAAGTTGCCTATTTGGCCTAGAAAAAGAAGCATGGTCGCCAGATCATTTTCATGGTACCAGTCAGCCAATGAGTTTTTCTTCATGCTTTATAAACGGCCAAAAATATTTATCCCTATCTGTACGCCCTGGGGTCATTTTGTACCCCCAGGATTGTATTTTTTTCACATTTTAAAATACTTCTTCCAACGAAGATCTCTTTGAAACTTTCAGTATTTCTCAAAAAATCGTTTTGACAGACTGCTCTGCAAAGCGTACGGAGTACGGATCGGATTATCGAGTAAATTTCCTCTTTGGAAAGGACTGACACAGAGTTCCCCACGTCGTTAGGATACGATAGTAAAACATACGTACGGATGGGTTTATTTGTTAAGTTTCTGACGTTTAGCGGGAACAATCAAACTACATGTAGATCTATTCTCTGGTTCACCCAAAAATAAGTAGATCTAGTTCTAATCTCCTTGGGTTGAATTGGGTTCACCAAAGAGTGTTCGTTCGCAGGTTGAAGGTTTCAGTGGCCGAAAACTATGAAGATCAAATAAATATTTCGTTCATTTTTTTTGGCCACTAAGAAAGGTTGTAAACTGAAAATCTTTGTCTTGGAATAAAAGCTGCCCCCCCCCCCCCAAATGTCTGCTGCTCTGTTCGTCCTTCGTCTCTTTACCGTATATAATATTATCTCCTCCTTATCCCCAGTTTATATTTAGAGAATATAACTGCTACTTTCATTTTGTTAGGCAGAGGCTACCAAAATAAATCAGCGTCGACCCCTGTCTCTTTTTTGGCTTTCACTTTCATGCCTCATGTACGTTTAGCTGCTGGTTTGTTTTGTGTGTGTGTGTGTGTGTGTGTGTGTGTGTGTGTGTGTGTGTGTGTGTGTTTTCCTCTGAAAAAAGAGCTAGCGGTTCTCGAACCTGTGTTTAAAAAAAACAACAATTAACTAGACATCTAGATCTAACTTCAGTTTCGTCTGTCTGCAGGGAGGTAAGACAAACGCAGTGGCTACGTTCACGGCGCCGTGAACGTAGTCTGTAGGCTAGGTTCACGGCGCCGTGAATGTAGCTGGCAGGCTCCGTTCACGGCGCCCTGAATGCAGTTTGCAGGCGCTGTTGAGGTTACGTTCACGGCACTCAAGCTTCGTTTAGACGGAGCGTCCACTGCCGGTTTAAGGCATGATGCGGGGGAAATTTTGAAATTCGTTAAGAAGAAGAAACTAAGCTTACAAATGTGGTAGCATCATTGGGTAGCATCAATATATAAAAAGAGTGGAGAATTAAGTCATGAAGTAAAATTTTGAAAATTCTTTTGTATTGCTATGGTAACGCCTGCCATATTGGAATGTCATATATATATAGAAAATGCACACATTTCTAAAAAATCTATCATAAGGTTATTCATGATTGTAAATGTTACAATAAGTGGTTTTGCAGCCTTCCGTGGCTGTTTTAGAGGATGGACTTGGCATTTTTGATGTAGGAGGAAAAACTTTTCAAGAGTCGAGGTCCTAAATATGGGAATATTTTGACCACAAAAATCTCAGATCCAAACAACGGATTAAATTTATAATAAAATCATTTATTCAAGATTTTTTATACGTCACTACTTATTACACTAGAATAATGTTTCATCTATCAGTATACCGAAAATTATGACGATATCTTAACAACTTTTCGCATGATAGATTTTTGTGTCCCTCCCCCCTCCCCCCCCCCCTCCCCTCTGAAAGAGCACAATTTGAGAGAAAGCTCCTGAAAGTTTGGACGTGCAAAACTTACTGTAAACGTAGTCCGTTATACTGTGGCGTCCAAAAGAAACTTGAAAATGTAATCACCCAGTCATCGTGTTGAAGCCTTGCATTACCCACTCATGCAGCATACAAATTTAAATTTAAAGCTAAATAAATTCTTCATCATCTGACATATTAATATTTAATCTATTTTAAGAGACGCCCGAGATATTGTCACTCAAAATTGACCTTAAAAAATAAGGCTTGGCAAAATTTTGCGAAATCAAAGAAACGTAAAATTGTCTTTGCGCATTTATTGAAGAGTATCAATATTGATCGAATGGCGATATATTGAATGCCCAATGAATGGAGAATTGTGTCTTTGCAATAAACAATATTTTATTACGATATTTTGTCACGATAGTTTCAAACATAACGGAAAACAGAGCAATCACAGATACCACACAAAACTTCGACTCAAACACTAATTGTGTTCATTGTTATTTTGCTTAGGAACCATTGGCTTTGTGTTGTGCACGAAACCTTTGGGCTTCAATTCAATTTAGTTTTGGACATATTTATCAGTCATTTCATTTCAAATGTCACAGAGAGTTGCAAACAAAGGGTCTGAATTGGGGGCAAAGTCGTTTTTCTTCAGCCGCAGTTTCATGGGACTTCACATACCTTTAGGATTCATATCGGGGCTGTTTGCTGCTAACTATTCGAATGTTGACTTGATTTGGTTTTTTTAAGAATTCTGTAATGGCATTGGCCCTATGAGAAAATGTCGTGTTTCGCATGAGGATGACTACTTGAATAACACCTTGACGAAAACAAGTGTAAGACATGACCTTCCAGCACTTGCGTGCGTGATGTAGTCCACTAAACCAAGGCATCCGGTAATTCTCACGAGAGCGGCTTTGTTCATTCCACCCCAGGCAACCCAAGACCATGGCAGTTTCGTGGCATCTGTTCCTCACTGACAGATGTTCAAAATCTTACAGGGTCTGTGTGCAAAAGAGGTTTCGAGCTCGGTAAGAAACCAACAACTCCTGAACAAAAACAAAATTAAAACTTATGAACACAAGTAACTGTTACGTCCAGGTTTTGTGAGGCATTTGCAACTGCTCTGTTTTTCAATCTTCATAAGTTTTCTGTTCAGCTCTTCGTTGTTGGTGTTTTGGAAGCTCTGAAGGGCATTGAACATACGAGTCTCGTAGTTGCAAAATTTTTTTAAAAAAGATAACCGTGCTATCAACTTTCTTTATCTCTTTACTGTATAAAAATGCATACATGATATGAAATACGCTTGCAAATAGTTTGAATGAAAGAATGAATATCTGGTTCTGGGCCAAAGACATAATACGCGCGCGCGCGCACACACACACACACACACACACACACACACACACACACACACACACAGAGTCACACACACACACACAGAGAGAGAGAGAGAGAGAGAGAGAGAGAGAGAGAGAGAGAGAGAGAGAGAGAGAGAGAGAGAGAGGCAGAGAGAGAGAAGGTTGGGGGGGGAGAGAAAGAGAGAGGGAGAGAGGGGAGAGAGAGAGAAAGAGAGAGGGAGAGAGAAGGGGGGGGAGAGACAGACAGACAGACAGAGACAGAGAAAATAGAGAGGGGGGGGGGGGAAGAGAGAAGGAAAGAGAAAGGTGAGAGACAGACAGAAAGAGAGAGTGAGAGGGTGTTTGCTATTATGATAAGAATTATTCCCGTCATTTTCTCTCTGTGTCGGTTCCCAGGCTTTTTCGTTTTCCTTCATCTCATGGAATGGAACATTTGAAGGTGGCCAAAATATTAAATATACGTCACAGTAGTCACTGACTAAAACCGGCAGTGGACGCTCCGTCTAAACGAAGCTTGAGTGCCGCGAATGTAGCCTCAACAGCACCTGCAAACTGCATTCAGGGCGCCATGAACATAGCCTGCCAACTACATTCACGGCGCCGTGAACCTAGCCTACAGACTACGTTCACGGCGCCGTGAATGTAGCCACTGCGTAAAACAAAACAACAGCAACCAAAAAGAAAAAGAAAAAAAACCTGACTTATTTAGTTTGCCAATTGCCAAATATGCGCAGTTAACCATGCATGATTCCTGTACTGTAGGCAAGCAACCCAACAATAAATTCATGGGCCTATAATTTAGAAATTTAATCACCCTTTTGGTGCTTACTCGGATTCACAATAATAAATTAATGATGAATAGCAACCTTAACCTCTCTATGAATATTATTTGATCAAGAGTTGATTTTTTTTTTTAATTGAAAAAAGAATTTTTTTTTCTTTTTTACAGTAATACAGAAACCATTTGCCATAAAAATGCAGGGAAATTGTAATCTCTGCCGATGCAAGTTTTTCTTCGTATTCTATCATTCATTCTCTATTTTTGTCATGGGAAGAAAACTGCATTTAGTCTGTGTACAGACATAGATCTATATAGAGTTATTGTATTTACAAATCTGTGTGATTCCTCACTTCTAAATTATGAAGCTTACCGTAGGCCTATTATTTAAGTAGACAATTTGATAACATTTTCTCCTTACCCTACATGTACAATAAGAGACCTTTCGCTTAAACTTAAAGTTTCCACTTTTTAGGGAGGTCTCAAATATATTTAATTTGTAATAATTTTGCCAGTATTTGTAAACAAACAAAAACTGCATGTGTATGAATATCATATGACTAGATCTAGATCTACACACAGGTGGATAGCAATTTTAAATGAATAATTTGAACTTTTGGTCCTTTTTTTCAGCTATATTACTCACATTAAATTAAAATATTGCTGATTTTAAACTTTTGATAAATAAATATGTGTGAAAACTCCCAGTATAAATTAATTGATATATAATTTTATTTTATTTTCCAACCCTTGTGGCTTTGTGGACCATTTTGAATGCATACAATACATAATACCGTACGTCAGCTGTTGACCCATGGTCTAATTATCTTCATTCAGAGTTAACCCTGTCAACTGTTGACCCATTAATTATGGTCTAATTATCTTCATTCAGAGTTAACCCTGTAGACAAATTTGCACTTTAAGCAGATCAACTCTGTGTACATACAGTACTTTAACTTGTTGCTCTCTACTTGTACATATTTTTTTCATGTCTTATGATAGTCTAGTGTAAATTTCTCGTTAATTTTAAAATAATGTTAAGAACCCTCCTTTTCCGGGTTGAGCAGGGGTTTCCGTTTGTAGAGTCGAGGTAATTAATTATAGAGGAATTTATCGAGAAGGGAGCAGGGAGATTCTGTTCTATTGATTTAATGACAACTGTCTTAGCTAGAGAGGTTTCAGTTAAAACGGGTTTGATTATCATTATACGTTGTAGGCTATTTACACAAATTTAGACTGTTTGGCTATTATTATAATTATGTCTTCGTATGTAGTATGACAATGTTGAGGCAGCATACAAATTAAGACTTTAGGAGTTCGATTCCTGAGTGGAGAAAACATTTCTAAAGACTAAAGAGTATTTCAGTCTTTCTGCTGGGATGTTACCTTTTCAACCTTGGTTGGCTCTGACAGGCAAGGTCAGAAGTCCGTCTTCTAGATTGCCTGAATTGTGTTGATAAGGGGGGGGGGGGGGGGGGGGCAACCTTTATTTAAATAAAGAAAAAATACTTTGGGAATCTTCAAGCTGATTTTATTATTAACTGACTCTGTTAAAGTAAAGCCATCAAATTGTCATGACTGTTCAACGTATCAATTTTGTGCTCGCTAAATCAATTTGACAGGCCTGTTGCTTGAACTATTTTCGTCCTGTTGCAAAGTCAAAACTTCTCAAAGTTGTTGATAGCGCAGAGTATATAACCTCTCTTCTCTTTTATAGGTGGGCTTCGTGTTTTCCAGGATGATCGCACATGCCTCTCATTGTAGAGGAAGAGAGGTTTCCTACAGAGGTAAGAGTCGTTAAAATTTGCCTTAGACGCTATGATCATGGTTTTGATTAGAGGTAGTTAAAGTGTTGCATAGTAGAGAGGAGAATATTTCTGTATTTTCCTGTCACAGTTACAATGGTCTGTCCCCGTGATTTTATGCAAAAAAAATTATGAAATTATGACTGAGCCCAAAAATGTGAAATTATGTGATTCTGTTAATTTTAACAAGGAATGATGAAGGAAAATAATCAGAAATTATGCAAAGAATGATCAAATTTTGCTAAATTATGCGGGGTGCTTAAAACCACGGGGACAAAATGGTTTCAGTATCTAAGAAACAACAAAATTTTTTTAAAGATTTCCTTAATATTCTGCTCTTTCACTATGATACGAGGTGTCCATTGGGGGATTGGGTCGGGTCGGGTCGGTTTGCTAGCCAGATTGAGGGTGCAATTTTAAAGGGGCTGTCGTGGCACAAGCCGATTGTGCCCGACTCGTCACCTTAAAAACAAACGCTTTTGTTTTCAGGCGATCAGAGGGGAGATTGCCCCCGACCTGACCAGAACCCATCTCACCCACAATAGGCACCCCGTATAATACAGGAACTATAATTCTACTTTGGAGAATTAAGAAGATATAATAATACATGAAACAAAATCTTATTCTAAACTGATGCCTGAACTAACTATTACGCTCTTATTATTACTAGTATGTTAAGCGATTATCCTATCCTGCTTTATCGCAACAGGTATTTGATATATATCTATGCTCTAGCGTGGTGAAATCAGGCGTTCGTCAAAATAATGAAAGTGAAGAAACTACAGTGGCATTTTCCCACAGGTTTGAGTTTGAGAATTTTCATCTTATTTTTGTTTTTTGCTCTACATCTTTTATGTCCTTTAAAGAACACATTTCTGTGAGGATTTTACTGAAAAACATTGATTAAATGCATAAAAAGAATAATTTTCTGTTTACACAGACTCTCAAGCTATAGAAATAACTAAACTAAGGCGAACATTTTCTCGCTAATATTACCTCTGAAACCAGGCAACCCCCATATTCTTCAATTCAATCACCAATATCTCGACTTGTATCCAAGATGAATGGGTATTTTTTCATTGAAAGCAAGACAAATGAACAAGCTTTAAATTGATACCAATAACTCCACAAGCCAAAAAACTGACGAGCGCCTAATTCCACTGTCTCGTGACACATATGATATGTCAAGTATGTTAGTATCTTCAGCATAAAAAAAAGAGGTTTTAAGTTGCAAGGAATTTATTCACCAAAATTTTAAGAAAACAAGAATTGCCTAAAAGAACATTATATTTGAAAAAAACAACAACAATTCGGTGATAATCTTAAACTGTTAAATTAATGCGTAGCAAGGGAAACAATATTAATTGATCCATTAAAAATCATTACATAACAATAATAACATGGAATTCAGTTTGAAATTAACAGACCTGCCAAGAACTCTGATGAAATCAAAGCTCTCAGAATATTTTTTCGTGTTGAAACCATCCTTGACCTTTGCAAAAACATTTTTTTTCTTGTAATCTGTTTCTCCCTTCTGTCAGGTCGTACGAGACTTAATATAAATGACATGAAAATGCACACTTTTTTGCATTCATTTGCAATACTTTGACAATTTATAGTAAAATACAGTCAAACCTCGTTATTGGGACAAGCATGAAGTTGGCGGTATGGTATAGCGGGGATGGCGGTATAACCGGATAGCAACATTAATTGCCGTCATGACTAGTGGTAGACAGGTAAAAGCAAGAGACTCTCTAAACAAACTGGGTCCAGTCTTTCCTCATCTAGATCTAGATATGTTTTGTGCGAATGCAATGCGCAGGGAAAATTAAGCGAGAATAAGCAGCTTGCTCACTTTCGTTTGATTGCAGTTAAAGTAGCGAGATTAAATCAAATCGCTCTGGTAAATCTTCTCAGATCTTTGCATACAGGGTTCTAAAAGTTGGATGACCAAACTGTGTGTCTGTCACTTAATGTTTCAGGAGTAATGGTGACAACAGTGTTTTTGAGGTATGTACATGTTTAAACATGAGAATGACCAGAAAAAAAATGTGAGGAGCGTGGTGAAATCAGGCGCTCGAAACAATGAAATGAAAGAAACCAGCATTTTTCTAGGCGTTGGGGAATTTATAAAATATGTTCTTTTTTTGGCATAACATCTTTTACGTCCTTTTGTTGCTGTTGTTGTTGCAGCAACAGCTGGGCTCTCGCCCTTCTGTCCAATGCCATGTAGTGATAAGTGCAGGTCTGCTGCAGTTGCTGTAATGTTCCATAGAGTGTGTTGTCAATGTTAGGTCTCGGAGGGAGAAGGGTAGCTCTGATGTCATTTAGGGCTGTACAGTGGAACAGGTGATGATCCACAGTCTCATATGCATAGTCACACATGGGACACATTGGGGGAAGTTCCGGGTTTATTCTGTTCAGGTGGAAGTTGAGCTGTATATGTTCTGTTCGTAGGCGGAAGATCGTGGTCTGTTTCTTTCTCTGAAGGCGGTTGATATTGTCATTCCTTTTTGTTGTGGTCATATGTTTGAAAACTGCTCTGCCTGTCTTTCCCAGGGCCCATCTGTTCATCCAATCTTGTTTGTTGTTGCTTTTGATGATTTGTTTTGCAGTGTTGTATGAAGTTGGAATGTTGGGTTGTTCCTGTCTAGATCCCCGTTTGGCGAGTGTGTCTGCTCTGTCATTTCCAGGTATGTATGAGTGTCCGGGGACCCACTGCATTACTAGGTTGATGCCACAGAATGTTATCAGATGATGGGATCCAAACAGTATATGGGTCAAATCTTGGTTTAGGTGATGGTCATTTTCTATGGCTTGTAATACTGATAGTGAGTCAGAGAAAATCACAATACTCTGTGCTTTTCCAGGATGAGTGTCAAAAACTGTGCGGAGATGGTACAGTGCTGTTTCAATTGCCATCATTTCTGCATCGTAGTTGCTGCATTTCTCTCCACAGGCTGCAGAGAACTCATTGGAACTTCCATCTGGGTACTGTATTAGTATTCCATATCCGGCTTTGGTTGTGGCTTTGAATGCTGAGCCGTCCGTATAGACGTGTATCCAGTCATCTGAACAGCTGTCGATTGTTTGATGTGATGCAAGCATCAGCGTCACTGGGTCTGAAGATTTTGTGCTCTTGTCTTTGAGAGATGTTGTAATGATTGGCTTTTTTAAAGAAAGGTGGGGAGGGATGTTTTGGTTGACTCTTTTGGTTTCTTTTCTATTTTGTGGTAGATGGTGGCTCTCCATTAGTTCTGTGATGTGATGCATGATTGACTTTTGTTGAATTCGTTTCTTTGGTTTCCATGTTTCTACTAATTTCCTGTTTGGGTGGTTGGGGCACATTCTATTAGTTCTTTCATGTAGCTCCAAAACTGCTTTATCTCTGCGGATTCCCAAGGGTTCAACATTTGCAAGGATTTCGCACGCGGTGGTAGGTGTGGATCTCATGCCGCCATTTATAAAACGAAGGGCATTGTTTTGGACCCTGTCAAGGGTGTTGTAAGTAGTTGCACTGCACATAGTGAGTAGGCTATTGCTGTATTCCAGGGAAGATCGGACATAACCCAGGTATAGAGCTCTCAGAGTTTGTTTGTCTGACCCCCATGAACTGCTTGCGAGTTTCTTTAAAAGTTGGAGTCTTTTTTTTGCCTTGTTCCTTATGTTCTCCACTTGGCTTTTCATGGTTAGCTTATGGTCAAGTTTGACTCCTAGGTAAGTTGGATGTTCTTCTTTGGGGAGACTTTCATTTCCTATCTTTAGTTTGAGATTTTCTTTGGCTGCTTTATGGCTCTTCGTGAAGATGGTGTATACTGTTTTCGTGCAGTTTATTTTAAGTTTCCATTTCTGACAGTAATTATGGAGCCTCTTGAGGTCTTCATTTAATTTCCCTGCTCCTACTATCGTGCTGTGATGTGTCTGCCAGAGAGCAAGATCATCGGCATAAAGAGTCTTTTCTGATTTCAGCACGTTCATTACATCATTAAAGAAGATCAGGAACAAAGTGCAACTCAGACAGGAACCTTGAGGTAGGCCTTCCTCGAGTACTTCTCTAGACGAGTGGGCATTGTTTACCTTGGTTTCAATGTTTCGATCCGACAGGAAGAACTTGATCCATTAATAAAGTTTGCCATGTATCCCGAGGTCCATCAATTTCATGAGTAGGCCTTTTCTCCACACTCTGTCGTATGCCTGTTGGAGATCTACAAAGATGGCGACAGTGTGTTTACTCTCCTGAAATCCATCCTGGATGTTTTGACTCAGTTTAAAAAGTTGATCTTCTGTGTTACTGCCTTTTCTGAAGCCTGCTTGGTGTGGGTTTAAGCTGTTAGTATTTTCCAGGTACCAGTAGAGGCGGTTGTTTATCATTCTTTCCGCAAGCTTACCGATACATGATGTTAATGAGATGGGTCGGTAGCTTTTCGCTTCTCCAGGTGGTTTCCCATTTTTCAGGAGTGGTGTAATCTGGGCGATCCTCCATGCCTTTGGTATTCCACTCGTTCTCCACGTGGTGTTTATCAGGGAAAGAAGAATTTCTTTTCCTTTAGCACCAAGGTGGCACAGCATTTCGTTGTGTATTTTATCTGGTCCTGGGGCTTTCCTTTCCTTTAGCTTTTTGAGGGCCTGACTGAGTCCCACCATGCTATAATCCTCTTCAAAAAGCGAGTTGTTCACAGTAGGAGCTTTTTCTTTATGCTTAGCCCTATTAATGAGAAGTCTATCAGCCTCGGTTAGTCTGCCTGCCCTGTTTACAGAGGCGAAAAAATGGTTAAAATGTTCGGCTTTCTTCTGGTCTTCAGTGATGGTGCTGCCTGAAAGGAAAAAGGGTTTGGGGTTGCTTTTTTGTCTTTCTCCCGAGAGGTTGCTGACAAGGGACCAAGCCTTTGTTCCATTGTGGCGGAGGTCGAGATCTTTGCAGGTTTGAGTCCATTTCTCTTTTTTGGCTTTTTTTACTGTCACTTTCACCTGAGCGCAGGTCTTGTTGTAGTGTATTTTGTTTATTGTTGATGGTGATTTTTCCAATGACTGTCTGGCTTTCTCTCTTTCTGCCACAGCAATTTGGATTTCTTCACTCCAAAAGGGTTTGAAATTTCTTCGGCATCCCCGTGGAATGTGCTGAGATGCAGCTTTCAGAATATTTTCGGTGACTTGTTCATTAAAAAGATCAGCATCTTCTGTTTCTGCTATGCTGGAGAGCAATTCGTCTGAGGTCTTTTCGTATTCTGCCCAGTTGGCTTTCTTAAAGTTCCATCGAGTTCTTCGAGGGTGGTTCAATGCAGGTGGAGAGGTGATCTGTATAAAGATAGGCCTGTGATCACTTCCTATGTCTTCAATCACTTCGATGCGACAGGAGTTTTTAATGTCGGATGAGCAGATGGTGAGATCAGGCCGGCTGAGAGTCAAGTGGGCTCTGTGAAGTAAGGTAGGAGTTGAGTTGACATCTTTTACGTCCTTTTAAAAACGCATAAATTCTGTGCGGGTGTTCGAAAATGTAAATTTCCGGTTTCCAATGACACTTAAGCTTTGGGAGTTGCCAAACTTTGCCAGTCACTTTCTTGCTAATTTTACCTCTCGCACCAGGCGACCCCCTCCCCCCCAACTCATTAAATCGCAAATATCTCGATTTATATTCATATAAGGGTACTTTTTTTGCCAAATGCAAGACAGATGAACAAAATTGACGAGCACCTGATTCAACATGTCGTAACACATATGTTCATGTTCTTCTGTGTTTGAAACACAGTGATAATTTGTGTGTGTTTTCTTTCTCTCTCTGTGCTACCATATTGCAGGAACACACGAGGTGGAAGAGAACTTTGCTGAATTTGGCGGCTCCGTTTCTTTTATTGATTGTACAAAGAACCCTGACCATCCCCAGTTTATACCTGTGTACGAGTTTAGTGAGGACCAGGTGAGAGTCTTAATGCCTGATGAAGAACAGTGGATAGTGGACAAGGCAGTGGAGTATGTTAAGTGCTGTGCTGATTTAATGGTCAGGATCAGTGTGCATTTTATTACTTTTTTTATTAGTAACCAGCGGGCCAACATTGATCTAATGGCAAACCTTACCCGTTTGCTGACAGATCAGGTAAAAAAGTCAGCATTGTGGTTAGAGGCTTCGTGATAGGGGTGTACAGTCGGAGTTATGGATGTTGCAAATGTGGGAAGTGTCCACATGGGGTGGCTAAGAAAAACAAATTCTGGGAAATTTACATTGCTACAGCATGCCATGTGGTTTACGACGACGCAGAGGCCAAAGAATGTGAGGTCGTGTTCTTCGATGACCATCCTGACGGTAGCGGCAGTGTGACACTGACCGGGGGCTGTGGTGTACAGTATGCCCACACACAGGCGGACAGCTGTGTACTGGTGTGCTACACCCACGATGAGGTCGTGGCTCACAGACTGAGGAAGCTCCGCGATAGACGACGTGAGATAGAGGGGGATCGGCTAGACCTGACAAAACAGATAAAAAAGAGAGACTTGTCTCGTAGTCTCGATAAGGTCCCAACTGCTGTCATCTCACATCCACACGGACGGATGAAGTACATCACACTCGGGCACACTGAGGGTAAAAGTCTGGATGACTTGAAATGTAGGCCTCTCATCTACACTGTACCCACTTGTCCTGGCAGCAGCGGGCTTTGTCCTGCCTCTAAGTCATCGGTACTATAATTTACGGGTCAAACCTCACAGCTCTGCAAGACCTGAAAATCGAGGCTGCAGTGCTGAGGGAGTTTATCTTAATTGTAACTGTTAATGTTTAAGGTGGCAGTCCATACTGTGAATTTACAAAAAATACAAATCCTTAAACTTTGATACATGTAATCTTGTCCATTGTGGTATTCACTAGGAAGCATCTATTGAACCTTCAGACACTGCATCTTTTTGGGGGGTAAAAAAATATGGAGCCCTTTTCCCCCCAAAACAACACATTTTGTAAAGAAGTGTATGAGCCCCCCCCCCCCCCCCCCCCCCCCCCTTTTTTTGGACAAATTAAAATTTGGGGGGGGGGGGGGGGGGGGTAATTGACTGACTGATTTTTTTGGTTGATAAAAAGCAAGTTTTGTTTTCAGTAGCATTACGATGGACATGATCGGCGTTATACCCACCACATCTGTTTTGTTATCTCGTTAAAAGCTCTTTTCTTGAAATTACCATATTATTTTGAGTTAACAGCTGATAAACATGTCATATAATTGGTACATTGTAATTTACAGTCCGGTGTCATTTGGTCCTTTAAACTAAATGTTTTCTTTATAATTGACGTCTTTCTATCATTTTTTGCCCAAACACATTTTTTCATTTCCAGCCACAATCTTTGATTTTTTTCCCTCACAAAATGATCAAATTCTTTTGATTCTTGTAACAAGTCTCAGTGTGCGCACGCGTGTGTGTATGTATGTGTGTGAGTGTGTGTACTTGTGTGTTTGTGTGTGTGTGTGTGTGTGCGCATGCATGCATGCATGTGTTTGTAATATAAACTGATTGATATAGAAATCTATAGGTTCGATGTCAAATGTACAAAATACACATGTACATGATGTATAATACATCGATTTATCCTCTGTCTTTCAAGGTCCCATTTCCAATCAAAATTAAGTGATAAATCTTTCTCTCAGCAATTTGCTATCAGTATCAGGTCGGTCCTCCAGGGATGGCTTATTTTTTATTTTGATGTAAAATAATTTTCTTCAGTTTGATCATATTAGAAAGGGTGCCTCATTTACAGTGTTTGCCCATTTATACCAAAGTATTTTATATCTATTGTATAAAAATATTTCCGGCGGAGTAATCTAGAAGTCAATAGCTCAGAGAAGAAATGAGGTCAGGCACATCAGTTTTTGATAGTAGGGAAAACACCAATAGAGTAATAAAAGTTCAAACTGGTCACATAATGTGTTTGTTTTTTCTTGTTTTCAAATCAGCCTATGCTACTCTCAGTTTGGAGAATAAGTTGGCCCTCAGTAATATCAATGCTCTTATTATATTATTGTAACTTTCTGAAGATGGACTCAATTTGGGACGGGTGCTGTTCTGACCCTGTGTAATGTATCAAGGGTTGTAGTGTTACAGTGAGTCAATTGCACATGCATACTATCTAAACACAAGGTTTTGAAAAAGTCAGCACATTTCTTAAGTATTAGCCAAAAAAAAAAGGCCACCTATCTCTATTTTTTATTGGGAGTGCTTATTTAGGCCACATATGGCCTAAATAAGGTAAGGGAGGGGGGTTTAGCTTATTTAGGCCACACATGCTCAAACTACCGGGGGACACCCTTTTCAGGCAACTGAGTTCGTTCCACTTTCATAATGGTGCACCTTTCTCATTTAGTACAGTTTTGTCTCAGTGTACAACTTATATATCATAATGAATATTGTAAGAACAAAGCACTATACGCAACATTTTGCTCATTCCCAATGGTTTGAATGAGGGCCAGATTTTTCCTTCATGGAGGGGCAAAATCTAGGTTACCAATTTGGCACACTTTGGTCGAGTGAAAAGGTCAAATCCTCCGAATGGACTTCCGGGTCAAATTTGGGGTATAAAAAGTGTGTACACAACGTGGCTGGGTCAAAGTTACACTATCTTTGCCTGGGTGGCACTCTCTCATACTGTCTCGTAGTAGTACATCTCTCGTACTGTCTCGTAGTAGTACATGTAGATCTAGTAGTAGTAGTAGTAGCAAAGATCGTGTAGAGAATCTTTGGTAGTAGATTCTATCTAGTAGGCAGTTTAGTGAACGTGCACGCGGCAAGGCGAATCGGCCTCGATAAGCCCCGTACACCTTTGTGATCGGCCACAAAGCCTCGTATTTTGATGGGTCTAAACAACTTAGTGTTAATCGCACTGTCACATCCGACAGGCCTACATCTTTTTAAAAGGAAAAGAAAGGTCATCAAAATGGTTGAATTTGCGTGAAAATCGATTCGGTAGAACTGGAACTATTAAAATTTGCTTCTGAAAACAAGTTACAAGGCCATTTTTATAACTTGATGAATTAAAAACTACTGGCAGTGTTATTCTGTATAAATTATGAAACTTTATCCTTTTGGGGCTAGATAGACCCCATGGTCCGCCTATCCACTTCCTTGATAATAACTGAAATAATATGATGGCTAGACTAACCATTTAAAAAAAAAAGTCTACTGAATTGTAAATATAAATTTTTAGTGTGCAGTACCTAAAGTATTTGTATTTGAGACATAACCAGGTGCCTTAATGACAGTGCATGTATTTTAAACCTCCTGTTTTCCAATGTTAATATAGGGCCTAAGATAAGTACGGCTAGACTGGCAGTCTAGCCGTACTTAATATTGATGGCTGAATTGTAAATGACATTTTTTGTTTGCAATGCCTAAAGTATTTGTATGTCAGACAAAACCAAAAGATGCCTTACTTACTTGCATGTATTTCAACCTGAATAATTACTAGATCTAGATCTTATTAGACCTGTGTACTTAACAGGCTTGAGTCGATAGGGCCAAACCTAGATCTAAGTACGGCTAGACTGGCAGTCTAGCCGTACTTAAGTACGGCTAGCCACTTCGTTTGCTTATTTGGGCCACAGTGTGGCCTAAATAAGGTAAGGGAGGGGGGTTTAGCTTATTTAGGCCACATTGTGGCCTAAATAAGGTCACCCTTTTTTATTTTAACATAGGTTGTTTTGCACCCCCATCGACACAATTTAGATCAGTTTGGAGGTGGGCTTCCGAACCTGCATGTCGGGGCCAACCCACGCTGAAAAGGATACTACATCCCAGCAGAAATATTGAGATACTCAATAAAAATTTCCTTCCCTCTCCAGAATCGAACCAGAAGGTCCCTTGCATGTGATAGCCAAGCACTAACTGCTGCACCACAGACACCAGTCCAGAACAACAAGTAGGGCCCTATACACCCAGACACACACTGAGATGGTGTCCCTATCCAACAGTTAGGTTAAAGTTAAAGCTAAAAATTAAGGGCCACCTTCATTCTCACCCCGGATGAGAATAACCCATGTCTCGCTATTCTCACCCCCCCCCCTCCCACCCCGGTGTGGGCATGAGGTGAGGACTCCCCCTGGACCTCTCGCAGGCCGATAAAATCACCTAGGCCCCTTGGTGGCTTACCGCATGTGGTTGGGAAAAAATAATAATAATATTAAAACATGTTTCGCCTCTCCAGTAAAAAGAAAAAGCCTCACTACCAACACTGAGCAGGATGTGGGACCGGCAACCGGCCGGACCATTCATTGTTTACGCACTTTAGAACGATGGCTGGCCTCTCTGCACACAATACATTATGGTTCAAGGAACACAGAGCGTGTACGAACGTAACGAGACATGAGCACGAGATTATGCTCTTGCACGACTGTTGAAGGGTTGTAAATTATTCAGACCAAATGGGCGAGGGCGTTAAATCGTGTTAACTAGTTCAATAACTTTAAGCAATCCAAGCTCTTTTCTTCACTTTCATTTTTTCTTTTATTCTTTCTTTTTCTTTTTTTTTTTCTTGCCTCTTCTGTACCCTTCTTCTTGAACATTAGTTGGAACCAAAAAAAGCCAGAGAGCCAAATGAAATTCTCTGGGCCAGACACAATCCAAAAGAACCAAATTTCTGGGATTTGGCTCCAATTTGACAACCCTGACTGTGACTAGATCTAGATCTATGTCTATTCGGACACCAACACGATCCTGTGGGGTATCAGCCCCGGAAACCTCAGCCCTGATCCCTCTTGGGTCTTTTCCGGTAAAACAAAGGAGAGGGTGAGAATAGCGAGACATAGGTCATTCTCACCCGGTTTGAGAATAACCACTTCCAAAAATTAAAAAGCAGCCACAAATTCATAGCCACACAGAGTTCTCAGCTTTTTCAACACATTAAGCTTGCCACAAATCTTTCTTCTTGTAATGCAGAGGCAGTTCTGTAAATATGAAATTAATATGTGTCACAATGTGGTGGAATCAGGCACCCGTCACTTTTTGGGCATTTTGAGTTCTTGGTATTGTCTCAAAGCTTGTTCATTTGTCTTTCTTCTGATAAAAAAATTTCCACCCATCTTGAATAGAAGTAGCTATTTGCGACTGACCCAGATGGGGAAGAGTTGCCTAGCCAAAAAACAAAGATTTGATACAAATTGCCAAACCGGCGTGAAAATGCTGGTTTCTTCGATTCCACTTCCACTATTTTGCTGTCCTCGTGGTTTTATGCACCCCGCATAATTTAGCAAAATTTAATCCTTTTTTGCATAATTTCTTATTATTTTCCTTCATCATTCTTTGTTAAAATTAACAGAATCGCATAATTTCACATTTTTGGGCTCAGTTTGCATAATTTCATAATTTTTTTTGTGCATAAAACCACGTGCACAGATTTTGACATTGACAAGCGCCTGATTTCACCATGATGCCTCACATACGATTAACAACAATTCTTAAATAAATAATATTATTGTTTCATTATTCAACCCCAGGCACTATAAATGGACATAACCATGAAAAAAGTGACATGACATGTTTTCATTGTAATTATGTTCCTTACTCGTTAAAATCATTGCTCGTCCAGAACTAAAACTCAATTGCTTGAAAGACATGCATGTGGGCAAGTCATATGACTAGCTTCAGTTGATTATGGAATAGTTGATGTCACCAGGGGAGTGTAAAAAAGATAAACTCATCCGAAGTTCAACTTTACTGTCGGGATCACAAAATCAAGAGACGTTAAAACAATATATTTTTCATTGTTCATATTTTAATTTTAGTATATATGTACAATATAATGGTAAAAACGGCGGAGACAGGAACAATCATTAAATTCATCAATCACCATGAGCTCGTTCATGTGTGGGTGTGTGTGAGTGTGTGTGTGAGGGAGGGCAGAAGATATTCGGAGACGTTTCCGGCGAGCACCCAGGAACTATTCGGAGACTCACTCCCACACACAGATACACTGCTTTGGGGGGTCAAACTGTGTATTATTTGCTGCAGATCACACTGTGTAGCCACTAAAACTGCCACAAAACAATTATTTAAAAAAAAAATTCAAACTTAACTGCAAAATATCAAATTATGGATTAAAAAGGGGGGGGGGGGGGTATAGAGGCACAAAGCATTTTGATTGGTCTATCTCCGTCGAAGATGTTTCCGAATAGATACTGTGGTGAGGGAGAGAGACAGAGACAGAGACAGAGAGATGCAAGCCTCCACTGGTGGCAAAGTTAGCAATACAGAATCTCTGCCTAAACGCATGCCACATAATATAAAGGCTCACTCCGCTCAAACCCATGCTTTTGTCATACAATGGCTTATTACTACCTGATCTAATAAATTAGACACACAAACACATGGTCACTTCCTCTTTAGTTTTAGTCTCAGCAAGAGTTTTACGGCTCAACACAATATGGTCATATATAAGTGCCGAAGTATAGAGGTGTTACAAGAGAGTAACAAACACAGAAAAGAAGTAGGAGCGATCAGGATGATAGATGTCTGATAGGAAAGAAGGAGCAAACCACACCAGAGCCCCGCCAACCACCGTGCTCACTTCCTCTAAACCCATGCTTCAAATTCAATCCTCAAAACACACTAACCACTGACAGGTATAGCTTGAAAGAGAAATTTTCGCTACCCCCTATACAGTTTGCATAGAACGGTCTAGACAGCCAGATATTTGGTGAGACTGCCCCTCACGCTGAACAAAGAGTGTGATGGAGAGCGTTAAATACCCACCCAATGTCCACTGACACATAGGTCAAGGATGTGTGTAACTGAAATGACTTTTGATTGGTTACTCGAAACGCATCTTTTGAGAGGTTTCTCACTGGTGTTTGGGTGACCGTAATGTTTCGCTAGACCTATGAATACAATGACCAAAAATGCACGAATGCTGTAGAACACTAGGTAGGCATACAGAATTAAAGATAAATCAAATGATCAGCTGCGCTCGAAGAACTTATTAAAAGAGTACTTGTTCAACGAATCACGTGAGAAAAGTCTCTCAGAATGTCTGATGGCATCCATGCATTAACCGAGTTGCAATAGATGATTGAACTCAACATACCTGTTTGAATTTTAACAAATGTAAAGAAGACCCGAGAAAAAGATCAACTTAACAGAAGACCAACTTAAGTGAGGTCAACACAAATGGAGTCGTTGTACCTTTCCTTAGATCGCCAGTATACAAGGTATGTCATAAGGCAACAAAGGGGTAAAAATTCCTTGGACCATTGGCCACCACATCACTTGAATAGAGACAGCACTGAGCTTGAAGCTGTTCCAGAGTATTTTCTGTATCTCTTAGATGAGACTGTCGAAATACCCCAGGTCAGAAGTTTTCTTCCTCTTCTATAGGCCTACTTGACGTCAGGAAGGAAAAACGCTGGAAATTTTCCACAACTCCTGCAATGAAAGGGCAAAAGCAAAAAAATCCCCCATAAAACAACAGTCGTTGAAATTGTCTAAAAATATTGTAAGTGATGAAAAAAGATCAAAAGTACACTCAAACCTTGTTATTCTGCTAACCCTACTTTTACCGCCAGCTTTTGCTAATGCCCAAAAAGGAACACCTAAATAATTATAAACCGGCAACCGCCGACTATCCGAGGTCCATACTAAACTAATTTAATATAAATTTTTCAGAGGTACACACTGTAACACACTCCACACAGTGCCCACTCGGCTCCCTTTCTCCTACTCCTGGCACAGCCAGCTGGTGCTTGTTGCCCATTTTCTCCCATACTCGGATTTAACGAGCTCGGATTCAACGAGAACTCGGATTCAATAAGATGAGATAGATTCCCTGTTTTTTTCCTTCTTTAAAATCAATAAAAGTAACCCGGATTCAACGAACACTTAAATCAGCGAGCTCGGTTTCAACGAGGTCACTTCCAGGGTGAACAGCCCCCGCAGACGTGGCTTCGCTAATTTTTCTCCCAGAACAAACTTTATCTATTCCCAGAAATCACCCATTGCACCTGCATCATGAACCATTATTCATTTAGCCGATTGCATGCGACCAATCAACAGCCTTTTTAAATACCAACATGTGTGTTGTTGGCACGCACACATGTCTACTCTGGCGTGTGTCGGGGTCGGATGGGCGGCCTGCACACGTGTGGCTGTGTGTACGTGTGAGGGAGGGTGGGGGGCACTAGCGGTCCGGGCGTTGAACATCGCATATACAAACGCGTCAGTCTGATTATTAGTACAATAATAAGCTAGTCTTGACGTAGATCTACGTAATGAATTGTACGCTGGTCTATGGAATCAAAAGTTGCCGTATGCTCGGCTCTACACAGCAACACAACTTTTTCTTGGTAAACAATCGAGATGACACAGGCTTGTGTATTTGAACGAATCAGTCTTTTTTTTTACACAGCTCATAATATGCAGGCATTTCAGGCACTACTTGTGACTTCTCTTTATACATTACTTGCTCAGTGCCTGTAATTATCTACACAAAACCTCGTGTTTGCTATAACAAACACTCGGATTCAATGAGACTTTAGTTCAGGCCCAACGACCTCGTTGAATCCGAGTTCCACTGTAATATCTCTCCGACACTGTCTTGGAGATTTCAGGCAGCTTGTTTGACAAGTAGCCTCTGATCTGGCAGAAAGCCTGGGTAATTTTAAACTTGAATTTTTACACACACACACACACACGCATACGTGCACCCTCACACACAAACAGACAGAGGGAAAGTTTTAGAGAAGGGGAGCATGAATGAGGATAGAGAGACAGAAACAGAAAGAAAGAGAGACAGAAACAGAAAGAAAGAGAAACAGAGAAAGAGCAAGAGAGACAAAAAGACTCAGTTCTAATGAAGGCCAACAAAAAGACACTTTTCAAACACAGATCACAAAGTTGAAGCAGAATCATTTCCCTTTGCCTTGATGTTGGGCAGTTGGGGCTTTTATCAAGGTTGGCAGTATAACGAGATTTGACTTTTGAAAGAGTGTCATTTTACTGATTCTATATTGTAAATTAAATGATGAATGTGTTTTATGTATTCGCAATTAGTTGACTTCTTGTTTTAGAGCTGGAATTAAAAAAACATAGTATGGCAGGCTAAGATGTAAGCAGTTCGAGGGTTGAATATTTTTTTCTTGAAGACAGAACAACACTCAATACATTTTCATCATTAAATTCCTTTGTGCTCACTCATGGAATGTATCCTCCCTTCTCTCAAACCACGTACTATTCTAGTCTTACAGGACTGTAATCTGTAGCACTCCACAGTTCTTACTTTCTGAAATCCATATATACCGATACTATGTATTTTGATTTTTTTTAAAGTAGGTGTTATGCCCACATTGACACAATATAGATTTATAATTTAGGAAAGGGGCTTTGAACCTTTGATGTCCCAGCCAGGAGAAATGATGAAATGGCTCAAAATTGCTTTGTATCTGACCAGATCTGTTGGAATTTCACATTGTGTTAAGGGAAGTTGCAGTGCATAGAATAAAGGGAGAAAAAACCCAGGGATTTGAAATCCTTTCATGGAAACAGGAATTCCATATTAACCAAAGTCAAGTGTGTCTATTTATTAAAGTAAAGATAATTGCTGACTGACTTTCTAAGACAAGACGGACATCTAATGAAAACCCTTTTTTTAAAATCTCTCACTGAGTCCCCCTTACAACATATTATCAAAGAGGACATCTTCCTCTAAAGATAGAATCTCCTTACCAGCTCTTTGAAGCGATCATAATCAAAACAAGCAGGAAAATCTGTGCTCAGCTGCTGTGCCAGAAACCTGACGGGACCTTCATCAACAGACGTCAGGTCATCCAGGTTCTCCCGGAAGTGTTCATACGCAGGGCTGCACACCTCATGGCTTCTTGTGCTGTAGAGGACGCTGTTGGAGAGACGGTAGATGTTGTTGAAGAGTTGAAGTTTACCACAAGAAAAATCTCATTTCATCTGAGAACAAATTACTCTCTTTTTAAAAAACAAATGTAAGTGATTGTACAACCTCATCAACCCAATTGACACTTCGTTTAGGAAGAGGGCTTCTGACCCTGGCTGTCGGAGCCAACCCGAGCCAGAGGGATACAACATCCCAGCAGAAAGACCGAGAAACTCAATAAGAATTTCTTCCCACTCGGGTATCGAACTCGGGTCTCCTGCAAGTGACAGCGAAGCGCCTAACTGCTACAGCAGACACCGGTGGAGTAAGCTAAATTTAAATCTACAAGCATCTATCTTAGAAAAATGAGATATATCATAGATCTAGATTCTGCATGAATATATAAGAAAGACCTGTACCTAGATTGAGACAGTGTCTTGTCTTGCACATCTAGATTTTTCATCAGTAGGGTTGATATCTTTAAATCTTCGTGAACTTGCAATAAACAATTAAGAATAAAAACAAAATTCAGGTTGCGTATAAGAATAAAAGCTAAGAAGAGAATTTTAAACAACAACACATCACCTGATTTTGATATTACCAATGATGGGTACTGAAAACATGTTCAGTTGAGTCGTCACAGTATAACTAAGACAGAGAAGTAGTTAAACTCATGAGCTAAAACATTCCCATCTTTTTCCCTTACATAAATCTAAAAGTATTTCTGCTAATATCAATGAACAGCCTGAATTTGACAGCTGAACTTAATTCTGCTAGTAGCTGCAATATATAATTCGGCACAGAGTGTATCTCTCTATACAGTGGAACTCGGATTCAACGAGGTCGCCGGGCCTGACCAAAAATCTCGTTGAATCCGAGTGTTCGTTATAGCAAATATGAGATTTTGTGTAGATAATTACAGGCACCGAGCAAGTAATGTATAAAGAGAAGTAACAAGTGGTACCTGAAATGCCTGCATATTATGAGCTGTGCAAAAAAAAAAAAGACCAATTCGTTCAAATGCATGCCAGTGTCATCTTGATTGTTTGCCAAAAAGATGTGTTGCTGTGTAGAGCCTCGTGTACGGCAACTTTTAAATTTGATTCCATAGACCAGCACACAATTCATTACATAGATCTACGTCAAGGCTAGCTTATCATTGTTATATTGATCAGTTGCTGGGGGAAAAAAAGACTGTGACGCGTTTGTATCTGCGACGTTCCACGCCCGGACTGATGATGCCCCCCCCCCTCCCCGACACGCACACATAGTCACACGTGTGCAGGCCGCCTATCCACCCTGACACACACTAGAGAAGACACGTACGCGTGCCAACAACGCATGTGTTGGTATGAAAGAAGACCGCTGATTGGTCGCATTCAATCGGATAAGTGAATAATGGTTCACGGTGCTGGTGCAATGAGTGGTTTCCGGGAAGAGATAAAGTTCGTTGTGGGAGAAAAATGAGCGAAGCCACGTCTGCGGAGGGTGTTCATCCTGGAAGCGACCTCGTTGAATCCGAGCTTGCTGAATTAAGTGCTCGTTAAATCTGGGTTATTTTTATTGATTTTATAGAGAAGGAAAAAAACGGGGTATCCATCTCCTTTCGTTGAATCCGAGTTCTTGTTGAATCCGAGCTCATTGAATCAGAGTTCCACTGTAGGCAATTTTCTCCCACTTCAGAATATCCTGACCCTTAACCCTTAAAACCCTGAGTTGTTTTTAAAAAAAATAGAATTCTGAATTAAAATAGAGATAATAGAAAAAAATCAGGTTGTTTCATTATTTCATTTACTGTGTCTTCAATTATTGTCAAATTTTACTGAAATTTGAATATGTTGAATGCACAGTCTAGGCAAAAGGGGGAAAAGTTAAAAGACTGGTTCTACGACCAACTCTATAAGTAAGTAAAGTCTTATGTGTGATCGCTGACTCAAAGCACCATTAGGCCCAACCATAGATCTAGCTTCTGGCAGCTCTACTCTAGTGGTGATCCCCTGCCACTTCCACTATCGTCAAAATCATCATCGATGCTATGCGAAACATTGCAATCGTCTTCAATATAATCAAATTTGCCGATATATCCAACTGGGAATCATTATCTGGGTCTGGTTCAGGATAAAAAAAGACAAAAATTTTGCGGCCTGATGGGCCTGATAACGCAAAGTCACTCATTTTTTCCATTAAAACTTGCAAAATTCCAAAACTTTTGATGTAAAACTACTCTTATGATATTATCAATACTTTCTGCTCGCGACAGAGTCATCTGGAGTTATATCTAGCCCTGGAAATTAAATGATAAAGTTGACCAGCGGTTACCCGCAGTACAGGAAAATAGGGAGTCAGCGGTTGGCAGCGATATTGGGTTTACCTTTACCGTTATATCGGTATTTACTATTCAATGCATACACCTTGTACCAATTTTGGAACAGTTATCGTAACTCGTAATCGAGAGCGTTCCAAACTTTTTCCAAGATAGCGACCATTAACGAGAGAGTAAAGAGCTGATTCGAGAAGGAAGGGTGAGTAAATTGGAAATATTACTTAGACTACATGAATTATGTTGGAGTTTGGCTAGACGCTCAACACGCAGCCCTACTACACACTCAGCAGCCTCCACAGCATTAGATAGCGGGACCCTCAGATAGCAACACATGTACGTGCTAAAAATAGAACTAGCATCGTTGTGACCCAGCGTGTTCACTTTGCGTGTGGGTTGGCCTAGCGTCTGCAGTTTTTTCCATGTGTGCCATTATTGGTACAAGACTACGAATAGGGGATAGGGTAGAGAACTGAAATCAATTTCAAAGCTTCTAATAGTCATTGTTTCAATGTTGGAAATTGAATACTTGAGGCATTCTTAACTGCTCATAGACGTGAAGCCAGCCATAACAGAATGAAATGAAATTTTAAAAGCCCTGTACTATTTTTGGTACACGGCGTACGGTAAAGGTCAAGGGTTAAAATCAACATACGTCACTGCAACCACGCAGTGCAAGTAGAAGTGCACATCACAAAAAGCAAGCATCATTACCGTCTTTCTAGAGATACGAGTACATGCTTTGATGGTGGCTCAACAAGCAGGTAATAGATTGTCTTGAAGAAAGCGTCAGTGATGTCATCGTCATACACAACTGGGAACAAAAACAGAAAACAGAGACGCATAATCGTGTGTCCATCATGAAAATCAACACTTGGTTTCATAGTGTACTGAAAATATGAAAAGCTTTAGACTTAAGTGCTTTTTAAATCAGTCTTATGCCAGCTTATCTCCTTCTCTCTCAACATTAGCGGTGGTGGCAAGTACAGACCTTAGATATAATATATAGCTAGGAAAGGGTTTATGTATGGCACAAAATTGAAATAATATTGATGAGTAAATGAATTATGACAATCCATCTTTTCAAAACTTTTGCGGCATGCACTCCACAATCCAAAACATGAGCACAACATAAAGCTAGCCCATGTTCACTTTTCTTTGATACAGGAAAAAAGCATCATTTATTTTTTTAATGTAAAAAAACAAACAAAAAACATATATAAAAATAAATATTTCTTCTATGTATTGACTGATATTTGTCTACGAATGAGCTCATCAGTGATTCTTACCCTCAGCTGCAAGGATCAAGTTGATGTTCTGGAGGAGAACAGCATCATCCTCTTTGATATTGTAATGATCTGTAGAGCAGCTGGGATCTGCAGTACAAACATTTTCACATAAATAATTAACACTTTTTTTTGGTTTTTTGGTAAGTGCTTTAAGGCACTCGCAATTGCATAAGGTCATATGAGCGCGCGTGACACACCTAATACTTTAAGTTGGTAGGAGATTTTGAATTTTGCCCGGGTAGCAGCCGAAGCCTACTCTTAACGATTTTAGACCACCAAGGGATCTTTAACGTGCGCAACTTGCACATGGGCCCTCCGATATTTTTCGCCCTTGTCCGAGAAGGCTAGGTGTAGATCTTTCCAACCAGAAGATAAGGGGTGTGGCAGAAAGACAGCTGTAAGGAGTCAAGGAGTAGCAGTAGAAAGGCTGCAGAAAGAGTCAGGAGCCCAGAGGAGGGGGCAAAGGAGGTGAGGGGGTGGGGGCAGAAAGAGGAGACAAAAGCAGACAACAGAATATTGCTATAGAGCAGGAAAGGAGGTGAAAGGAGACAATTTTAGAGACGAAAATTTTTTGGTCGCTACCCGGATTCGAACCCGGGACCTTTGAATGAGAGGCCAACACCTTAACCTCTAGGCCACGAGAGCCCCTAATTAACATTTAACACACATGCATAAAGTAGTCTCCATGAAGTAAGACCCTCTAAAAGCACACATGTCAAAGGCCCTAAAAGAGGAATTCTTCAGTATTATTTTCTTTTTAACTCGAAGTACAGCAAAAACATTCTGTTTCAGAAAAGTATCGACATCAATGATGATAACTGAATGATAGAGTTATATAAGCCAAAGGTCAATTTCAAAACAAAAAACAGTAAACATTTTTAATATAATTCTGGACCTATATTATCAGATTTAACTAAGAGGACCGACCACACATCAAAAACCACCCACATTCATATATGTAAAAATGTCCAACATTCTCCATGAATTCCTAAGATGACAAAACTGCATGGAGGAGCCTCTTACACCCCCCCCCCCCCCCCCCCCCCACACACACACACAAAAAAATACAGAAAAACCAAAGACTTAGGTTTTAATCCGGAAAAACCGAAAAAACCTTTTTTTTTTTAAAAAAAGTGGTTTTAAGGGGCCCCCCACTGCCTAAGGGCATATTAGGGGAAAGGGAAATTAATAAAAGGGTTTCCAGGGGGGGTTACAAACCTTTGCCCCTATTTTTTTCGTCTTAATAAAAGGCGGGGCCCCCAATACAAACCCCCCCCCTTTGAATATGTAACAAATGCTCCCTCTTCTCCAGAAATTCCTAAAGAAGAAAATGGTCCGGGGGGGGGCTTTTTCCCCCCCCCCCCCCCCCCCCCCCACACACACACACACACAAACATACAGACAAACCAAAGACTTAGGGAACATCCAGTGGCGACCTAGACAAGTTCTTTTTTTTTTTTTGTAGAGGTTTTAAGGCGCTCGCAACTGCATAAGGTCATATTAGGGCAAAGGAAGATTATTAGAGGTGTTACAAGAGAGAGTAACAAACATATAAAAGAAGAAGGGGAGATAAGGACGATAGATGTTTGATAGGAAAAGAAGAAGCAAACCACACCAGAGCACTCACCAACCACCCACAGACAAGTTCAAACTGACAAAACCATCCTCAGACCAGCACTGACAGAGAAGAGGGAACTGGTAACTCGACGGGGAAAGCAACCAAAACCAAATAAAGCACTGGACCACAACCTGGGTCAAAAGGACTATCATTGTTCCAGTCCAACACCTTGAAGATCATATTCTGGCTCCCCAAAGCTGGAAGTAAGTCACAGTTTCGTTCCCAGTTGCGCTGAGCTAGGTGTACAATCTCTGATGAGTAATCTGTGAATGGTCAGCAAAATTCAAAGTTCTTCATTAAGGAATATATCATATATTGCTGGTTGACAAGGAGGGAGGAATGGTTTGAGGTTCTAGAGGGCCTGTAAAAGACTGATGAAGCTGAAAATGCGAAAAACTTGAATTATTAAAAGCTACTTGGATTTAATAATAATAATAAAAAAAATAATAATAACATTATAATTGCATTTAGGAAGTGCATATCCATACAGTGGAACCCGGATTCAATGAAGTCGTCGGGCCTGGTCTTCAATTTCATTGAATATGAGAGTTTTTTATGGCAAACATGAGGTTTTTGTGTAGATAATTACAGGCACCGAGCAAGTAATGTACAATGTATTCAACTTTCTCAATCAAAAGCAGTTTGGTTTCAAATGAGAGGCATTTCCGTTCCTTTGATACCAAAGAAGTACTTGAAAATTCCAGGAAATTACATTGAACTCTACCAAGCACACATTGTGCAAGAGGGCCAACTTTGTCAAAAGTACTGATTGCCAAACAAGTAATGTTGCTCTGTAAAGCCTAGCATATGGCAACGTTTGATTCCACAGCCCAGCACGCAAATTCATTACTTAGATCTATGTCAAGATTTAGCTGATCATTGTAATATTGATCAGTAAAAGGCCGGGGAAAAAAGTAACTGTGTCGCATTTGTATCTCTACTGACGTTCTACGCCCGGACCGTTTGTACCCCTCCCCCCCACCCCCCCAGACACATGCACACACAGTACACAGTCACACGTCACACGTGTGCTGACCGCCCGTCTGACCCCGACACACGCTAAGACATGGGTGCATAACAACCCGTATCTTGGTATAAAAGAAGACCGCTGATTGGTCGCATAGGGCAGTTCCCTCTGTAAGCAACTTCGCTGAATCCGAGTTTGCTCATTCATATGTTCGTGGAATCCGAGTCACTTTTATTGATTTTTATGAATAAAAAAATCGGGGAAGCCAACTCCTTCCGTTGAAACCGAGATTTCGTTGAATCTGACTTCGTTGAAACCGAGTTCCACTGTACTCTACAACATGCTCCATGCTCTCTATGATTATTACCCCAGCAGATCCTAAAACACTCTCAGCTTCTCAGGAAGCATAAGACAAGATCTTTCCACAAAACATTAGAAGCTGAGAGTTTATGAAGTTCAGTGACAACATTGTTATACTACAACTTTTACAAGGTGTCTAAAAAGTGGACCTATTTAAAGGGCAACAGCTCAATCATCTTTAGACCAGTTTTAACATTTAACCAAACTTGGAACAAATAAAATTCAACCAAGTGGGCGTTTAATTTATAAATATGAAGAACACCAACCTACATGTTCAAGATATATCAATGTTAAAAAATTATTACCTGATGGAGGAGCTTAACTGAGAGTCAATCGAGAAGAAAATCTCAACTGCAGATTCTTCCTTTACAATGAAAGCCATCCACAGCAAAAAGCTGTACAGATAGAAGGAACTAGACCTAGACAAAAGGACACATACGCACCTGTACAGATGACTGTGTCTGCAAAAAGAGCGGCAATGATTGCAGTCAGCCCAGGCCCTGAACCCAAATCCAAAACATGAGAACCACAAACCTCAGTTTGATGGAGTAGCAAGTAGTCACATAACAGCAAGGCCCCACTCCACACCTGAAAAAAATGTAGAACTGCTCTACAAAATCACACCTTTCATGCAGAATAACAATTATAATAATTCCAACAAAAGGAACAACACTTTTCTGCAAGAATTTGTTATTGAACAAGTAAAACAGTAGAACTCAGATTCAACAAACTCGGATTCTACAAAAGGAGACAGATTCCATTTTTAAAATTTATTCAAAATCAATAAAATAACTCGGATTCAACGGATACATAAATGAGTAAACTCAGATTCAACTAAATCGCAACAAACCTACTCTACTCAAAGAGACCCTTGATCACACTTGCACTTTAGATCATTACACGTTTAGTCCAGCCCATTGCGTACATCTTATGCGTCCGATCAGAAGCTTTCTTTTACACCAACACGTGTGTTGTTGACATGCGCGTAAGACATCACATTTCTTAGTGTGTGTCACGGACAAGAGAGGTCGGTCAGGTGGCTGTTAGAGCGTGTGTCAAAGGAAATTTGGTGGGGGGAGCATAGGCACAAATGTTTCAGGCCTGGAAAGTCAGCAGAGATACAGACATGTCATAATCATATCCACCTCCTCCCCTGGCTACTGGACAATGAAAGACCAGTCTAAATATAGATGTAAATCTACGTAAGGGGTTGTTCAAATATAATCTTACACCTTTTTTGGGACTTTTTGCCTCTTCTCCCCCTTCTTACACTTTTCTTACATTTGCCCCCCCCCCATTCCGTAATATTACATTGTTTGCTTATACAATAATAATATGACATTCACATCTCGCAAATGTGTGTTACAATTTGCGCTTTAGGCTACATAATATTCATTTAAAAAACATGCATATTTCCAAATGCACATTATAATATATGCAGTTCTACATTCACTACCGGTACAAAATAACAGAGTAAATCATTCAAGCAAAATATTGCATACACTCTTTCTTACTAATAAGGAAAAAATTGAGACTAATGTCAATGTTGATTGATTAAAAATAAACCAATAAAACAAATTAGAGTGGAAGTCAACACCTCAGGACCGAAAAAAAGTATAATATTACATTGGCTCAAGACCCCCACCCCCTCCCCCCAACCTTTCTTACACTTCTCATACAGGAGCCAAAGAACAACCCCCCACCCCGCCTTTCAGGCGTAGGATTATATTTCAATGTCCCTTAATGTATTGCACGCTGGTCTGTGGAAACAGATGTTGTCGTATGGTAAGCCCTCCATTGTGATGCAACTTGTTGCTCACATTGCTATTACAAACACTTAGATTCAACGAAACCGAAGGTCAGACCCGACGACTTCATTGTGTCCGAGTTTCAAAGTATATTTCAACATGTGTGTCGCGAAGCTAAGGAATCAGGTGCTCATCAATTTCGGGGATACAGAGCTATTGGTATTGGTCGAATCTTAAAGCCTGTTTATTTCCTTGCTTTTGATGAAAATAATGAGTTTGAAAAGAATGTACAAGGAGTTGAGCCCCAAAACAAAACAAAATTCCATAAAAATTGTCCAACAGGCCAGTTAAATGTCAGTTTCTTTGATTTCATTATTTTGACCAGCACCTCATTTCACCACGATGCCACTAAATATTGTTACACTATTATTGCAAAATTTAAAAACGTGACTTGAGACAGGAAAAATATTGTATCAGATGTCATTGATGCCCTGTATTTGACCTTGACATGTCCTACTACAATACTGGGCTGACATATAAAAATAATAATAATAATAATAATAACAACTACAATAATAATAATAATAATAATAATTTATCAATTGTTATTTACAAATGCCCTTGTAACTTTATATCTGCTTGAATTAACAGGAACCAGAAAAAAATGAATACAGTAGTCTTCGCCTAAGATCCTGGTGCACGGGAGCAAGGAAATGCGGGATCTTAGGCGAACCAAGATCTTAGACGAATGGCCAGGGGGAAGAATCCACAGTAACTCATGGTCAGGCCCAAAATCTGTACAATGATTACCCCTTACTTTAAAATGAACTAAAAGTTCTTTTCAGAAGTCAGTTTTTCCTATTTTTTTGTTTGGGGGTGGGGACAGGGCTTTTTAAAATAAAATACTGTGTCGGGCAGGAACCAGTCAGCCTCTAACAATTCCCCCCCACCAAAAATGTATTGCTTTCCATCTCTAACGGAGTTCCCCGCCCACGTCATGATGCATCATAAATCGCTGTGTTGTAACCACACCAACCAAATTTTTAAAAAATGAAAGGCAGGTTCACTGCCAACAGATGACCCCATTACGCAGAGGTAATCGGACAGGGCACGATTGTGGGCACCAGTCTGTCAAGGAAGTTAGAGTGCAAAACTGAAAGACGAGAGCGATGGTCGGGAAAGCGTAAGCGTCCACGAGTTCACAGTTTGATGGAATGCAGTCTGATGCTTGCTTGTAGGCCCTCCACACCTAGTGTGTGATGTAAGATCAGGTGGGCGGCTCAGGTGATCGGGGAAAGCAAGGCATCGCCGAGTTCACACATTGGTGCGATCCCATCTGGGGTAAACATTGTAACCGCTTATCGTGATTTACAACACAGGTGTGATGGATCCGGGAAGGGACGGACCGTACAATGATCGCACATTTTCACTACTTGATTGAACAGCTGAGTGCGTACAGGTTTCTTATTTTTTTGTTCTTAAATAAAGAAAAAAACAACTGAATTATGACCTGAAAAGCGGGATCCCTACCAGAAGATCAGGGGTGTGGCTGAAAGACAGCAGTACGGAGCCAATGAGTAGCAGTAGAAAGGCTGCAGAAATAGTCAGGAGCCCAGTGGAGGGTGGCAATAGAGATGAGGGGGTGGGGGCAGAAAGTGGAGATGAAAACAGACGACAAAACATTGCTAGAGAGCAGGAAAGGAGGGGAACGTGAAAGGAGACAATTTTAGAGAAGAAAATTTTTCCGTCGCCACCCGTATTCGAACCCGAGACCTTTCAATGACAGGCGAACACCTTAACCTCCAAGCCACAAGAGCCTCCCCGCCCCATCTGCAACTACTGAAATAGAAATTGACGAAGATCAAAACAAGCATACCTGAAATCCTACACCTTGTAAAGAGGTGGCCATCTTGTGTTCTGAAAAAGGAACGGTGAAACAGTACAAGTATAAAGAGCAGCGCAAAAAGATCACCAGCATCTATGATGTAATGGTTAGGCGCCTCACTATCCCACGCAGGAGATCTGAGTTCTATTCCCAAAAGGGTTGAAAGCTATTTTTATCGAGTGTTTCGATCTTTCTACAGGTTGGCCCTGACAGGCAGGGTCGGAGGCACATCTCCTGAATTCTTGTGTCGATGGGGGCTTAAAAACACCTTTAAAAAAAGAAAAAGGAAAGACCCCGAGATCAAAAGGAAGGATGACTTCGTAACTCCATGAAATACTATAGTTGAGTCTGGTTAATGCAAACTTGCTTACTGACAATGTTTGGCTAAAACAAACCGCAATATATGAGACTCTACTTAGTTTTTGGAAGCAGTTATTGCAAATGTTTGTTTGTTTTGGTGTTTTTACGGCGCTCGCAACTGCATAAGGTCATATGAGCGCGCGGGACACACCTAATATTTTCAGTTGGTAGGAAATTTTGAATTTTGCCCGGGTGTCGGCCGAAGCCTACTCTTATCGATTTTAGACCACCAAGGGATCTTTAACGTGCGCAACTTGCACACGGGCCCTCCGAGATTTTTCGCCCTTGTCCGAGAAGGCAAGGTGTAGATCTTTCCTACCAGAAGATCAGGGGTGTGGCAAAAAGACAGCAGTTAGGAGGAGCCAAGGAATAGCAGTAGAAAGGCTGCAGAAAGAGTCAGGAGCCCAGAGGAGGGGGCAAAGGAGGTGAGGGGGTGGGGGCAGAAAGTGGAAACGAAAACAGAAAACAGAACATTGCTAGAGAGCAGGAAAGGAGGTGAAAGGAGACAATTTTAGAGAAGAAAATATTTCGGTCGCTACCTGGATTTGAACCCGGGACCTTTGAATGAGAGGCCAACACCTTAACCTCTAGGCCACGAGAGCCCCCCAGTTATTGCTAAGGTCAGCGTAGACACAATAATGTATTGATAATAAGATATGTAGCAACATAGATTGTAAAGTGCATAGAGCTTACTGTTAAGTGAGGATATAAGTCCTATACAAAATGCTAAAATCCCCCCACCCCTGCTAAAATCTCCATCTCCATATCACCAGTTACTTTTTTGGCAAAACAATTAGAGTCTTAATCATCTGGACAGCTGTAACTGTTCTCAAGTTTATCACAGACTAACAAATGAATAAAAACCTATCGTGACAACCTCCTTCAGTGAGTGGTCAAGTGCCAGTTGTACCTCACAACCAATATAATTTTTTTTTAAATGAAGCCTCAATGAAAAAAGGGAGAAACAAGGACACATAAAAATAACGGATTGCGCTATTTGTAATTTCACAAGTCTTTTTAATTAGATCTACAATTTTTTTTTTTTCAAAGAAAATAGAAAAGGGCTGTTATTAGAATTATTTCGTCATTTGATCTCAATGCCTGACCAATCTGTGAGCTACAAAACTCCAACAGTCCGCACAAATAAGAAAGAACTTAATTTAAATTGATAGAAAATAAGACAGAATTCAGTTTTTGTCGGGACATATATGTCCCTAAGTCGACATTATCAGTATTTTCTGATAAGACCTCATACTTTTTGCCATAAGTTGTAATTATAATGAATAAATATTCTTTCTTTCAAAGGCTTTCCTCTAACAAGTAACCCAGATAGTTCACACTGTATCAAATGGAAATGGGCTCTTTAAATTGATACTTTCAATGAAGAGAGTCTGAAATAGGTATCCTACCCATGGGTAAAAGTTGGTCATAACCATTTTGCCCTAAAACTTTCAAACTCATAGCATCTTAAGGGGCTTTGCCCGAAAAGATAATCGAATCACCCCCATACTGTTGACAAATTTGAAAAAGCGCTTATAAATGAAACGCATTTTGTATCGAAGCAAACGACAACTCAATACTTGTTATATTTACTCTATAACAATGGAATGTCGATCCTATTATCGAACTACTAAACGGATATTTCGCCCACCACAAAAACAGCTGGAAACTGTAGCACACCATATCGCTCGAACTCGAGCAGCAGAGTTAAAAAGTCAGACTATTTTGAGACAATTGTCAGGTAAACAGAAGAAACCTGTGCTTCATGAAATCAACGCTAGTCCAGTCAAGGACGGCCGTTAACGGCTGCCGGCACCATGATGCCGGCTGGCTTTCTTTTGTCGGAACGTCCGGCCACAGCCGGGACACATTTACCCATGATCCTACCTATAGTGAGAACCTCCTTCTGTTCTTTATCTTTCCTTCTTTTAATTTTGCAATCACCGGACTGGTCATCAGAGCAGTTTCTGAGTAAAAAAAAAGGACACCAAACATTGTAAATTTTTCAGGGAACAAAGATGAGAGCTTCGTTTCTTACTTCATCAGACTGTACTAGCATTTAAAAAAAAATTTTTTTTTAGAGACAGTACCACATGTCATCATCCTCAGTTGGAACTTGAGAATACATTATTATACGCTGATTAACATACTTGACTTCATAATTCAAGAAGACAACTTGGTCCGTCCATGTCAAATTATGTTATCAAAACTTACTAAAGAAGCCATATAAAGAAAAGCAGCTTCGTTAAGGGTGACAAGAAAATTATAGGACGAAACATTGAACTTCTGTAACAACAAAATATGTGTTATCTTTATGTATGTCAGAGAGAATTAGTAGGTCTACGTGCATGTGCTTGTATATTTTAAGCTGCTAGTGAGTGGAAGGGGGGGGGAGAGAGAGAGAGAGATAGAAAGAGAGGGGGGGGGTGGATGAGTAGAAAACCAGGACAATTATTGATGGGACAATTATGATGCACAGTATCACAGACAACTTCTCTTTGAGTTCTCTACATAAGGTCTCTATTGCAGTACACTTGCTCTTTTCTTATGCTGCCAAACTTTTCATTCCACATGATATGAAACGGAACAATTTAACATGACATAATCATAAGTACTATCTTGAGTTAACTCACAATTTAACTCTTATTGGTGAACATAGAGATCTCTCTTTACTTTTGGTATCCAAGTTATCATCCACTATCCTGTCTGTAGACTTTACAATTGTTGTGGGTGTATCAAAATCTCCAGCATCGCCATCGCCTCCGCTTGAATTAATTTCTCTAACTGTTCCCTGAGAAGCCCCAAGAAACGGCAAGGAGAAAAAAAATCTTGAGACATCTGAAAAAGAAAATAAAAAAACAAGACTGGCATGAGAAGAAATTACTATAAAAAAATATGAAACTTGGAAAAATAACAAAGTCGTCAGACCTGACCTCCAGGTCCATTGAATCTGAGTGTTCATTGAAAGCAAAATGGATTTTGCAAATTGATATTATTGTAGGTGCCAGTGCGGGCTGAAAAGGAGGTTTTTGTCTCCCAATTGCAAGTCTGTGATATATGAATTTTTGCTTTCTAAACAAGTTGCCGTGCAAGACCAAGCTTTCATCAACACTTGTTTCCACAGACCAGTACACAGATTTACGTAGACTATCACTGGTCAGTTACCAAGGAATAAAAAATCATGACACTGTTGCACCTGCATCACTGCTGACAATCCAGCTCTGGAACCCTTATATATTATATGCTTCTCCCTCCCCCCACAACCAACCCTACAGAAACATAAAAAATACAGTAATACGGTAGAACATGACTATAGCGGGACTTCTAGTTCCAGAAGAAAAATCCAGCTGTAGGCAAGTTCCCGCAATAGGAATGCAAAGGGGAATAAATGAAAAGCCAGACACTACATGCTCTTCTCTACTGTCTTTTTGGCCTAGCCTAGGCCTTGGGCTATGGCTATGGCACATCATTTTTGGAGTGGCTCACTTAATATGTCTCTCCGCACCATCTCTCTGCTGCCTGCCCCACCTCACTCATTACTGGACTGGCCAATCACAACGCCGCACCGCTAACTGCCTTTTTGGAGCCCACCTACAGCCTCCCAACCTCCAAGCCCCTTCCCCCCAGCTAGAGCTCGCTTGATCTCTCCCGTTGTATCCAAGTTTGGGCCTTTCCTTGCCCCATTAAACCCATGCACAGGTAATTGAATTTAACATAGAAAAAAAAACAACAGGAATTCTGGTAAGGTCCCACTGTAGGGATGGTCCTGCTGCAGCAGGTGCCGCTATAGTCATGTTCTACTGTACCTGTGCTGGCCATCCATCCAACCTTTTCAGACTGACCCTGATGCATGTTAAGACATATTGACTGCTCAGTGTAGTGTAAGCTCCATCTTACACCACCTTTCAAAATAACGTATGGCAGAATCTTACACAAAGCAAATGATATGTCTTACGTGCATGTCAACAACGCACAATGTATTGCAGTGAAAGAAAACTTCTGTTTGATGGCTGTGTGTCTCTGATAGGTCAATCATCGTATACAGTGTATGAAACAACATGACCACAGTGCACGGGAATTCATGTCCCTTGGAACAATATGTAAGAAATGGTTGAGGGAGAAAAATGTGTAAAGCCACATTAGAGGGGGGATCTTCTTGCAAAGGACTTTGAATCTAGAATGTTGACCTATTGATTTTGTGGATAGAATGTGAAATGTTTGTAACTTCTACCACTTGATACTCATAATAACTATGGAGGGTGGGTTTTGGCTCCACTGACGATTACTTCTGGTTCTAAACGATTACTTATCGACGTGCGAGCCAATACCCCCCTTATTAAGAACAAGTGATATATATTACTGCTCATTTTGTAGGCTACTGAAAAATAGCAGCGCATCTCTCGCTCTCTTTTGGATAACAAAGTGATGATTCGGACTCAAGTCCGATTACACAAAAATTATATTCAGACTCTGAATTGAGTCAAGCAAGCATGATGTCGGTTCTGATTTCCGATCCTTGTTCCTAAATATTTTCAGCATTTAAGAA